GCTCATGAAGAGTCTCCTATTCTGTGGCCCCCTGGTGCCCGCACTCGTCCGCGCAGTGCCTCGGGCCGTGGTTTGCGGCCCCCCCCCTCCCATTGGACACCCCCGGCTCGCTGCCCCGCCCCGCTCCCCTGGGCGGCGCGGCGGCGCCGCCCAGGAGCACGGTTGGCACGAACAGCGGCCGCAAGGGCGCCGACGGTGCCCCCGCCGAGCGGCTCGCCGCCGCCGCCGCCGCCGTCAACGACGGCGTCGAGTCGGAGGTTCTTCCCCCCCCCTCCTCCCTCCTTCCTCCTCCTCCTCCTCCTCCCTCCTCCCCTCCTCCTCCTCCTCCTCCTCTCTCCTCCACCTCCTCCTCCTCCTCCTCCTCCCCTCCTTCCTCCCCTTCCTCCTCCTCCTCCTCCTCCTCCTCCTCCTCCTCCTCCCCTCCTCCTCCTCCTCCTCCTCCTCCCTCCTCCCCCTCCTCCTCCTCCCCCTCCTCCTCCTCTTCCTCCTCCTCCTCCTCCTCCTCCTCCCTCCTCCTCCTCCTCCTCCCCTCCTCCTCCTCCTCCTCCTCCCCTCCTCCTCCCTCCCCTCCTCCTCCTCTCCTCCTCGTCTCGTCCTCCTCCTCCTCCTCCTCGTCCTCCTCCTCCTCCTCTCCTCCTCCTCCCCTCCTCCCTCCTCCTCGTCCTTCTCCCTCCCCTCCTCGTCCTCCTCCTCCTCCTCCTCCTCCTCCTCCTCCTCCTCCTCCCCTCCTCCTCCTCCTCCCCTCCTCCCCCTCCCCCTCCTCCTCCTTCTCCTCCCCTCCTCCTCCTCCTCCTCCTCCTCCTCCTCCTCCTCCTCCTCTTCCTCCTCCTCCCTGGGCTTCCTTTTGGGAGCGCGCACCCGCACCCGCACCACCGGGCCCCAGAGGCACAAGGGCCCCCTATGGCAGCGGGCGCGGGGGCGCCGCTCGCGCGGAGCGGGGCGAGCCGAGGCAGCGGCGGCTCGAGCCCGAGCGCACCGGCTTTTCCGAGCTGCGCCCGGGGCTGTGGCCTGGCATCTCCATCGCTCGGACGCGTGCATTTGTTTTCGGCGAGAACCATCGAGGACCATCCTGGACCATCGAGTAAAAAACAAAACAGCGCAAACAACAAAAAAACATAATTATCCTGGCGAAGGACCCAACCATATGCAATTGTGAATAACGCTTTGTGGGTGCCGCTTTCGGTGGGGCTCTTTATGGGGCCACGAAAGGCGTGCCACGAAACACTGTCCTGGGCGTACGGGGCGCATGAGGGCGGTAGCATTGAGGCCTTCGGTGGAGCTCCCTATGGGGCCACGAAACGTGTGAGGGGTGTGCCGAAATGGGTGCGGCGCCGCCATGCGGACGCAGCCACTGGGGCCTTCGGTGGAGCTCCCTATGGGGCCACGAAACGTGTGAGGGGTGTGCCGAAATGGGTGCGGCGCCGCCATGCGGACGCAGCCACTGGGGCCTTCGGTGGAGCTCCCTATGGGGCCACGAAACGTGTGAGGGGTGTGCCGAAATGCGCCCGCAGCCACTGGGGCCTTCGGTGGAGCTCCCTATGGGGCCACGAAACGTGTGAGGGTGTGCCGAAATGAGCGCCGCCATGCGCCCGCCACCAGCTCCCTATGGGGCCTGTGAGGGGTGTGCCGAAATGTGCCGCCATGCGCCCGCAGCCACTGGGGCCTTCGGTGGAGCTCCCTATGGGGCCACGAAACGTGTGAGGGGTGTGCCGAAATGGGTGCGGTGCCGCCATGCGCCCGCAGCCACTGGGGCCTTCGGTGGAGCTCCCTATGGGGCCACGAAACGTGTGGGGGTTGTGCCGAAATGGGTGCGGTGCCGCCATGCGCCCGCAGCCACTGGGGCCTTCGGTGGAGCTCCCTGTGGGGCCACGAAGCGTGTGAGGGGTGTGCCGAAATGGGTGCGGTGCCGCCATGCGCCCGCAGCCATTCGGGCCTTCGGTGGAGCTCCCTATGGGGGCACGAAACGTGTGAGGGGTGTGCCGAAATGGGTGCGGTGCCGCCATGCGCCCGCAGCCACTGGGGCCTTCGGTGGAGCTCCCCATGGGGCCACGAAACGTGTGAGGGGTGTGCCGAAATGGGTGCGGTGCCGCCATGCGCCTGCAGCCACTGGGGCCCTCGGTGGAGCTCCCTATGGGGCCACGAAACGTGTGAGGGGTGTGCCGAAATGGGTGCGGTGCCACCATGCGCCCGCAGGCACTGGGGCCTTCGCTGGAGCTCCCTATGGGGCCACGAAACGTGTGAGGGGTGTGCTGTGATAGTGGGAGGAGGGAGGAGGGAGGGAGGAGGCAGCGGGAGGAAGGAAGGAGTGAACGCGGGGCGCTGTCTCTTCAAAACAAGGACCCAACACCACAGGATGGTTGGGAAAACGCACGAACCCAAAAAAAGCAACGGGAAATGGACGTCCGAGCGACGGCAAGGTGGCGATGAGGGGTCCACCCGAAAAGGCAGCACTGCTGCTCCCCCAGCTGCTGCCTTGCTCCGAGCGTGAGCTTCGGCTCCCGACTGCGAGGACGTCTTGCAGAAGGCGCACAAGAGCAGACCCCCTCCCACACAAACCTGCCCCCCCCCCACCCCTCCCCCGCGGGGGGATCGCCCACCCACCCCGAGGGGAGAGAGGGAGGGGGAGGGTAATTATGGAGGAGGGGGAGGGATTGAGGAGGAAGAGGAGGAGGAGGAGGAGGTGGGGGCGGGGGGTGCGCTCCTGCTCCCCTGGCCCAGGGGTTCTCGTCGCCACGGCTGGGCGCAGCTCAAACCTGCCAGGGCGGACCCTGGGAGGGGTCCCGGAGACGGGTTCTGGGCGGATTCTGGTCCGTCGTCGTCGTCGTCGTCATCATCGTCGTCGTCGTTGTTATCGTCGTCGTCGTCGTCGCCGCCGCAGCCGTCGTCGTCGTCGTCGTCGTCGTCGTCGTCGTCGTCCCCAAGGTCCAGCGTCGCCGGAAAAGACAGGAGACGGCCCGCGTTTCCTCGATCTGGGCCTCTGGAGCCTCGTGGCTGGCCGCCGGGCCATCATAGGGCGGCACTGGTCGAGAGCCTTGAGACGGGGGTCAATGCAGACGGGGGTCAGCCAGGGCACCGGATCCTGCAGGATCCTGCGAAGACCCCCTTTGGCTGACCCGGGTTAGTGAGCCGCTCGTGGCCGCGAGGCGGCCGCGCCTATTGGTTGACCCGTGTTTGCGAAGACCTGCGTTTCAGTTTTTGTTTTCCTGCATTGCAGTTTTGGGTTTCCTGCTGACCTGGGTCCGGATTGACCCGGGTCAGAAGATCCCCGAATTGGATGAACATTCGGCCCCGGGGAGGGGGTCGAGAGCTCCATGATTGCAACGTTGGAGGGGGGGGATCGTCGAGGGGGGCATTGTCGAAGGGGGGGGGGATCGTCGAGGGTTGGGAACGTCGGAGGATGGGGGGACGTCGATGGGGGGAGGGAACGCCAGGAGGGGGGGGAATCGTCGAGAAACGAGATTCACGGATCTACGTGTTCAGCGCATGTTTGGGCATCAGTTCTGGAGATCTCCGAAGGTTGTCGCCTTTGTTGTCGCCGTCAAATTTTGAGCACGATTGAAAGATAGCGTCTGACGGGGTCTTGAATTTCAGCCTCCAGGGGCTTGTTCCGGACTCTGGGGCAGTTCAACATCGGCACGCGACCAAAATACGGTCCCGTGGATGGAATCGAGAGTTCCATGTCCCACGTCGTCAAAAAGATGCGGCGTCGGAGGTCTGGAAAGATAATCCTCCGCCACCTTAGGAACTCCGCCTGATCTGGTAGCGCCTCCTTAGATGAGATGGACCGCTGTCAGAGAAACGAGTCCATCGGGGCCGACAGCAGGAAGCAGCCAGGAATTGGAGGAGCGAGAGCTATGTTGTGCAAACGGCTGCCATATCCATGTCTCACCATATCCGCATATCGCGTTTCCAATTCCCACCCTGAAAGAGAGTTGCAGAAGCACTTGTTGCTGTACTTAGGCCGCTGGTTGTTGGGCCCCCTTACATATTTCGTGCCAGGAACCCACTTCGCCGATTGTTTTCCCCTGTCTCCCTCCCCCTCCCTCTTCCAGCTGTCTTCTCCATTCGATGTGCTCATTGACTGCTTCTCTGGTCCGCTGCATTGGTGCACGTGCCCCCTCTCCCAGTTGGAAAAAGCATGCGACTGGAAGTGTCGAAATGCATGTACCAGAAAGTTTGGCGTTGCGAACTCCCAGCGCCCGTGTTCAACAGAAGCTCGACTGCACACCACTAGCCACGAGGTCAAAAGCCAACGCAAAGTGGTCGCAAGACGCCCGCGCATGCCCTAGATGGAGAGGCAAAGTACACTCTGTATGGTTTGCGTTTCGAAGCGAGCAACATGACGGCCCCACCGCCGTCCCTGTCAAAAACAAATGAAAAGTGGTCGCGGGGCGCCCGCGCATGCTCCAGAATTGGAGGCAAAGTGCATTCAGCATTGTTTGTTTGACAGGGATGGGGGGGGGGGGGGGGCGTGCCTCGGGTTGGTCCACAGTCGGGTGGGGAAGTGTATATTGATAGGGAGCAGTGATAAACTCTTCCCCCGAGCAGGGGAAGGAGGGGTGTTGGCATAGAGAAGACAATATCCATCGAACCACCTACGCCCGGAGGGTTGGTGGGATTCTGGTCAGAACGCGCCCCAGGAGAGGTCCAGGGAGCAGTGGTATCGGTACTTGTTGGTTTCCCCAATTCCTCGATCTCGGTTGTCTGGAGCCTCGTTCTCAGGGTCCAGGGATGTCAGAAATTCGTCTGAGGTGAAAGCCGTGCCAGGGGGGACTCCAGAATAGGTCGGCGGGCCGGTTCTGAGCGGATCTTTGTCGGAGGAGGAGGAGGGAGGACGAGGAACGAGGAACGAGGAACGAGGAACGAGGAACGAGGAGGGAGGAGGGAGGACGAGGAGGGAGGGAGGAGGGAGGACGAGGAACGAGGAGGGAGGACGAGGAACGAGGAGGGAGGAGGGAGGAGGGAGGACGAGGAACGAGGAGAACCGCATAATTACACAGGTGGCATCCTCAAGTTCTACACGGACGACTCGGCTGGTTTGAAGGTCGTTCTTCGTTTGTTTGCTGAGGGGCGCCAGGGGAGGAGGTGATGCGGAGGGGTAGCCACAGTGGTGCATCACCAGGCTGCTTGCCCGAGATGCGATCGGTTGTTTTGGCCGTGGACGCGGCCGATATGTGCGATTTGCCAGGGTCGTTCATTCCTCATCGCGTCGCCATAATTCATGTTGAGGAGGTCGAGGGGAGGAGGTGCCCAAGACAAGCATCGAGAAACGCCTTCGACGAAGTACCGCCAAGTGGGGCGCTCTTCAAGTGTGCAGTACACAGGTTATCGAGGCGGGTTCGAGGCATGTCGAGAATGTAGCGACAAGCATGGAGTAGACCGTCAACAAACATAACCATCGCACGTGTGTTCGATTGTGGCCCAGGATTGCACGAAACAAATAATCCCCCGTTGTCGCTTGCGCGTGGCAAGATATTGCGGGGAGCCTACAAGCGGGCCAGATCGCATCAACTATTCAAACGTGGCATCAATTGAACAGCCTTGATCATCTCGAACGCCTGGCCAGCATCTGATGTGGTGCGGTAACCGGGCCTTTCGGCTCGACGCACGTAATGTCCGTGTCGGAGTAAAGATGGTGGCTCGAAAAAAATGTTGGTGGTGTCAAGGCGTGCCTTGCTGAGTCTTCGGCAAGACATACATACCTTGCAAGCTTGCTGGCCAAAGAGCCAAAACCATGGGCCTGCAGCTTAAGTACAGGGACAGTCTGCGTGATGGCAACCATCGGAAAAGGGATCACGGACTGATAAAATGTATGTATAGATGTTGAACACATTTGCTGAGAATTCGAAGGCAGGACGGGGGAACGGGTGCGGTTTGCTGAAATGCTAATTTCTCTTATGTGTTGATGCTACACGGAGCGCTGCACACTCTGCCGCCAGCCCCCCCTCCGAAAGATTCAGGGGCGCCCTCGAGGGCGCGAAATTATCCGTAAGGGCTTCACCCCCTGCCGCCGGCCCCCTTTCAATCATAATAGGGTATGCCAAAGCTATGTTGTATTTTCTCGGTTCCGTCGTGAAACAATCTCGGAACCTCATGCTAGGGTAATTGGCAAGTGGCATATCATGTTTACGAGGTTGTATAGCCTCGGGGGCACGAATCTTGCGTAAGTTACGAGGGTGTGTGGATTCGGATACGCGAGCATCGCGTAACTTACGAGGGTTGATGGTCTCGGGGACGCGAATATTCAGTAATTTACGTGCGTGGGTTTCTGGTCTCGGGGGCGCGAATATTGTATAATTTAAAAATTACAAGAGTCTATGGTTTCAGGGACGCGAGTATTGTGTAAGTACATTGGATTTGGGCTTCGGGGACGCGAATATTTGGTAACCTGGGTTTATGGTTTCGGGGACGCGAAGCGAACATGGAGTAATTTACCAGGGATTATGGCCTCGGGGACGCGAATGATGTCATGTATTTTCACGTGTGCCACGCCCCCCCCCAGGAATTCTGAGAACCCTCCCAGGGCTTGGTCCACAAATCCCGTTTGGGGCTCCCACCCCTCGCGCGAACAGCAGCAATTAACAGTAAGGAAGCAGAAAGCAGGACTGAACAGTGGAAACTGGAAACAGCAACTGGAACAGGGAGCTGCAATCTTCACCCTCGCAGCCTGGTGGCCCCGCAAGGGGGCCGGCGGATTCGCGCTTCGCGGTTCGAATCCGACTCCTCATCCTCCTCTTCTCTCTTGAGGCGCGGCGCGAGAGCGCGCAGTCAGGCGCCCTTGCAGATTGCTCGTATGGCCAGGTTTGGTCGGTAGGTTGGTCCGTGTTCTTGTCGGCTGGCTAGCCGGCAACTCGATTGATTGGCTCGTTGTCTGAATTTCTGGTTGGTTTGGGCTGTTTGTTGGTTGGCTGGTTCGCAATGAATCAGGGATGGTGGCCTTGGGAGCGCGATTCTGGTGTAATGTACGAGGGTTCGCGGCTTCGGGGATGTTCCCTCCACCCCAGCTAGTATTTTCGAGGACTCGTGGCCTCGGATCCAGAGCCGACTTGTGAGGCAACAGGGCAGTCAAGTTGCTCTGCTCGGGAGAGGCGGGGAGGCGCCGTTGGGCGGCCCCCGTGGAGTGGCCTCCGGCTTCGAGAGCGCGCGTTGGTTTGGACGTACATGGGCTTAACGCCTCGGAGGCGCGAGCGTGCCGCAATGTACGAGAGGTTATATACCCTCGGGGGCACGAGTGCGTCGCTATCCTTATGGGATTGCGGCCTGGGGTTCGCGAGCCTTCTGTGATTTACCATGGGCTGTGGCCTCGCGTCGGGAGCGCGAGTGCGTGGTTATTCCAGACGCTTCGCATGACCCCACCAGCCCATCCGGAGACGATACCCAGACGAGTTGCGTGGATCAGCGGGGTGGAGGATCATGCAGTGGAGTAAATGGCAGGGTAAGACGTCATACCCCAAGAGGGAGAGGATGGAGGAGGACGAGGAGTAGGAAGAGCGGGAGGGAGAGGAGGGAGGAGAAGGAGGAGGAGGAAGAGGAGGAGGAAGAGGAATAGGCGGATGAGGAAGAGGAGGAGGAAGAGGGCGAGCAGAACGGCCAGAGGCCTCCTGGATGCTTCTTGGACTCTCTTCGGATGTCTTTTGACAGCTTCTTTTGGGCCTAGCGTGGCGTCTCGGAGGCCTCTTGGCGGTCCCGGCGGTTTTCTGAAGTCTTGTAGGTGTTTCGGGGGAGCCTCTTGGGGCCTCTTGAGGGTCTCTTGAGAGCTTCTGGGGAACCTCTTGGAGACATATTCTGGGCCTCCTGGGCGCCTCTTGGGGCACTCTTGGGAGCATCGGTGGTAATCTTGGGGCCACATTGGAGAAGATCGATCAAAACAGAGCGAGGGTCAATTAGCCCCCCACCCCAGGAGGCAAAAATGGGTCCAACACCTAAGTGGCATCAATTATTCTTGCCTTCTCGCCGAGGCCATCTTGGACGGTCCAACGGCCCGCGAGACTCCCCCCCCCCTCCAGACCCAGGCACAGGGGGCAGGGGGAGGGGTACCCCCCCCCCAACGGGTATAAGAAAGGGGGCTGGAAGAGGAAACGCGTTCAGCCACTCACGATCAGAGCGCTGGTGGGATCTGCTGGGGGCCGTGCCGTCGGGAACGCGAGCGCGCACGATCTGCGATCGATCGGGGTCTTGGGGGCGTGACGACGACGACGACGACGACGACGAGGTGTTATGACCTCGGGCGCGCGAGCGCGTCGCACGTCCCGAAGAGCTGTGGCCTCGGGCGCGCGAGCGTGGCATCGTTTACAGGGGGCGTGCACTCGGCAGCGCGAAGGCGGCGCAGCTCACTTGTGGGCTCTGGCTTGGGGAGCGCCGATGCGGCGCAGCACATCTGGTGGTGTGGGCGCGGGAGCGCTGGGAGGTGTCTGCGCTCGCGAGGGGCTGCTCGGCCTCGCGAGCGCGAGCGCGCCTCGAGCTGCGAGGGACGGTGGCTTCGAGAGCGCGGGCCTGCTGTAAGCTACGAGGCGTTGTGGCCTCGAGAGCGCGAGCTCGTCGCAGGTCATGAGGGTATGTGGCGTCGGGGACGCCAACTTGTTACAACGTACAAAGGGCATGTGGCTTGGGGAGCGCGAAGGCGAGGTGACTTACAAGGGATTCGGCTTCGGCAGCGCGGGGAAAAAAGCGAGATCTACAAGGAGGGCTTGTTGCCCCCGCGGCGCAAATAAGTCGCCATGTCACATGGATTGTGGCTTTGGGAGCGCGAACGCGCAATAACTTACGAGAGAGTGTGGCATCGGGAGCGCGAATTCGTTGTGATTTGCGGTTGGTTGTTGCTTCGGGGGTGTAAATTCGTTGTAGTTCACTAGCGGTTGTGGCCTCGGGGTCCTCGCGCGAATTTCGATATTTTCAACATTGGAGCTAGAACACCGAAACTCTACAATCGTAATATTGGGAATTGGAGCTGTTGCAGAGATCAGAAACACCTACGCCTCGCAGCATCTTGGCACCTCAAGGGGGCTGGCGGACATAGTGCATTGATGTTTTCTATGATGCCCTTCGGCTTGCCACGTTGTTTACGCGACGATGCGGTTCAGAGGTCTTGGATCAGCCGTGAGTGCCTCTGATGTGCTGCGCCCGGGTCTGTCGGCCAGGTTCGTCGCCTATTTTGTTATATGCCTTCAGTTTGATCCTCCCCGATGTTGTCGTTTGATGGTGATCGTTATCATGGTGCTCCTGAAGTGCTCCACTTCTCCGATGCTGCCCTGTACGGGCTTAGATATTTATCAATCCATGCTTTAGCGATTTGAGGGCGTCATGTTTTGATGTCTCACGGTGGCTCCACGTCGGCCTCCGCCTATTCCCCCCGTCGCGTTTGGGGGGAACGCAGGAGCCCCGGGACCCACCCACTTGGGGGATGGCGGGTGGACACAAGATCTTTGGACCTTGGACCTTGGGGACCACATCGGCACCGCTGGGGCTTCTGGGAGCGCCGCGCTGCTCCCGTGGTCTGCCGAGCCCTCGCCGGGGCGCGCCAGAGATCTCTGTCGAGGTCCTCGCCCGCCCCCCCGGGCGCGCGTTGCAGATCAGACCCTTGGCAAGCCATCCCTTTCGGAGTCGTCGACGTCTGTGCAGTTGGTATCTTCCTATCTCTAATCCTCGAGGCTGGATCCTGGGTCCCACCCCCCGGACCCCTCCAGGAGTTCGTTTTGGCAACAGTTTCAAAAGGAATCCAGCAGTAGTCGCGAGCGCCTCCAGACGCCGAAAGATGCCCCAAACCTCGGTATCCGATTAGTTCCTTCTCCAGGGCGCAGCCTCCCTTCCCTGCCCCTTGCATCCAGCGCCAGGGCTCGAGCCAAACGGTGTTTTGGCGATCTCGTGGACCGTTGTCGTTTTGATCTCGTCTTGCAGCACCGGCGGAACGGAGCCAGAGCGAGGGAAAGCCACAACGAAACGCAAGCGACAGACAGTGTTTCGCCAGAGCCCTGTCCAGCGCCGCTCCCCCTCTCCTCCGCCAGCGCCGCTCCCCCTCCTGAACCTCCTCCTCCCCGCCCCCGCCTCCAGCGCCCCCCACTTACCTCCAGCGTTAAGTCGGGCCTGCCCTTCTACAGGAGGAACATTCCCAAAATAGTCCCAAACATAGTCTGGGGACGATTTTTTTACTATGTTTGAATATTTGGGGGGGTATGTTTAGGTATTTTTAATTTTGTCGCCAAAATTCCCCCTGCAGGGGGACAGGCCCGACTTACCTCCATCTCCCGCTCTCGGCTCCCTCTCCTCCACCAGCGCCGCCCCCCCATCTGCGCCTCCCCCCCCCCCCCCCCCGTCTTGCACCTCCTCGTCGGCGCCCTCGTGTTCGCGGTGCCCCGCCTCCTGGTCTCCATCCTGCTCGGCGCGCATGTGCACTCGGGCACTGACGAGCCCCACCCACCGGCTGGGAGCACGGTTGGGCGATTGCCGCCGATGTCAAAAAAGTGTTCCAGCGCCCCCCCCCACGACGACGACGACGACGACGACGACGACGACGACGACGACGACGACGACGACGACGACGACGACGACGACGACGACGGCGACGACGACGACGACGACGACGACGACGACGACGACGACGACGACGGCGGCGGCGGCGGCGGCGGCGGCGGCGTCTCTTCCCGCCCTCCGCGTCCGCCTCGCCCTCCGCCCGCGCGAGGTCGGGCCCACCACGGTGCCCCCCCGCGCCGCGGCCTCTCTCGCCCGCCCGCCGCGGCCGCGGCATCCGCCTGCCGCTGGGGCCAAACTCCGAGGGACCGAGCTCCGAGGGATCGAGCTCCGAGGATCGGACCTCGAGCATCGAGCTCCGAGGATCGGACTCCGAGCATCGAGCTCCGAGGATTGGACTCCGAGCATCGAGCTCCGAGGATCGAGCTCCGAGGATCGAGCTCCGAGCATCGAGCTGCGAGGATCGAGCTCCGAGGATCGATCTCCGCGGATCGAGCTCCAGGATCGACCGCCTCGAGGATCGACGTCCTCGAGCATCGCACCTCGAGCATCGCACTCCGAGCATCGCACTCCGAGCATCGAACTCGAACTCCGAGCATCGACCTCCGAGGGTCGACCCTGCAAGATCCTGCCTGCCGAGCTCCAAGGGCCGAGCTCCGAGGAGCGGCCGCGGAGGGCCGACGTCCGAGGATCCACCTGCGGGGACCGGACTCCGAGCATCGAGCTGCTTCGAGGACCGAGCTCCGAGGACCGCGCCTCGAGGATCGGACTCCGAGGGCCAAAAATCCTAGCATCGGACCTCGAGGATCGGGCTCCGAGGATCGAATTCCGAGGCTCGAGCCTCGATGATCGAGCTCCGGTGGTCGAGCTCCGAGGATCGAACTCGGAGGATCGGACTCCCGGGATCGGGCGCCGAGGATCGAGTTTCGAGGATCGACCTTCGAGGCTCGAGCTTCGAGGATCGTCGACCTTAAGGGCTGAAGGCTTTGCATTGTGTCACCCCTTTGGGGGCCTGGGCGGGGGGGCCATCGGCGCCGTGGCTCGAGCCGCCTCGGGATTACAGGCTGAGCGCACCCCACTGAGAGGCCTGGGGTGTGAGTATTGCCCCCCGAGCCGAGACCCCATCGCGTCGTCAAAAAGTCCTCTTCTGTCTCGGCACCTGCCGTATTCGTCGGCATCCAGATGACATCGGAATGGTCTCGGAATGGCTTCGGGAGGCCTCGGAATGGCTTCGAACAGCCTCGGTCGAGCACTGGAATGGTTTTGGATCCCAGATGACCTCGGATATGGCGCGGATGGCATGATTTGATTTTGGACATATGTTGGGCCGTCCGAATACACCACAAGTGCTCGCTCGCCCTAAGCTGGAGGGTGTGGAACCGCCCACTCTGCTGCAGCCATATGGACCAGATGAACCAGCAGCCTTCGCACGCGACGACACGTCTGGAGGCGACAAGTCCTCGGCGGCGCACACGCCTCGTAATATCGTTCGAGTGTCGTGCCGAGTCGTTGCATCCCTCCTCCGAGCCAACAGGAGGCCTCCTTGCTGTCGTCGCTTCACATGTTCGGAGGACGATCACTGGTCCTGACCAGGCCGATCGTGGGCCTAGGATCAGTGCAGATGCCTCCTTGACCAGGCCGGGGGGGGCGTATTATACGTGCACCGATCCCTAGTTCATGACGAGGCCGGACTCGGTGAGGTGGATCGGCGACGTCCCCCGACATCTCTTTGGAGACGATGTCCAGACTGCGTCGTGTGGCCCAGATTTGGGGGCATTCAGTTCGGCGGCCATTCGTGGGCCGCTCGTGTGGTCCAGGCGCGGCGGGAGCAGCCCCGTGAGCGCTCAGGTGCTGGTGCTGTCCCTGGTCTTCATGGCGATTGTCCGAGGGGGCCGGACGGGCAGCGACGCAGCGGGCGCGAGCTGCCGGAGGATGAGCCCTCTTGCTTTCCCCTCTTGTCCCCCTCCTCCCGGGGGGGGGGGGGGGGGGGGGCGAGAAGCTGGAGGACGAGGAGTAGGAGCAGGGCCTGGAGCAGGGCCTGGAGCAGGGGGGAGCAGCAGGAACACGAGGAGGATCAGGAGAGCGAGGGGGAGTGTGAGAGCGCAGAGGAGGAGGAGGAGGAGGAGGAGGAGGAGGAGGAGGAACAGGGAGGGGGGAGGGAGGAGGGAGGAGGAGGAGGAGGAGGAGGAGGAGGAGGAGGAGGTGACGAGAGCAGGAGAGAGGACGGAGGACGAAGAGGAGAAAAGTGATGATGTAGAGGAGGAGGAGGTGGACCAGTGCAAGCCCAAGACGCATCAACGATATTGCATGTAAACCCTCCCTCCAAGTCCCTCTTCATAGGCTCACGCACGGATGCATTTTCACTGCGGGGAATGCCCCGTTGGAAGAGAACCGTTTGAACATCCGGAATTGTGCCAAAACATAATTCTTGGAACTTCAGCGCCGCGAATCACCGCGGCCCAGTCTTGACAATCCCGAATCGTGCCAGAACGCCATTACTGCGACTTCAGCGTGACTGTTGGGCCTGGACAGTCCGAGATCGTGCCAACACACCATTTGTGAGACGTTAACCATGAGCATCCTTGAGACAGTTGCACCAATGTTTACGACGAATGCGCGCTGAGCTAAGGCGAAAGCCACATTTTGAAAAGGAACCGCCCTCCGACCGTAAAATTCTGGCAAACTTCATACACGAATGTGCGCGGCGCTAAGGCGAGAGCCACATGTTGAAAACGGCCCGTCATCAGGGAAGCTCTTCCAACTGTGTAAGACGAATGCGCGCGGCGATAACGCGAGAGCAACATGTTGAAAGCGGGCCGCCCTCCATCCGCGAAGCTTTTGCACAACTCAAGCTTTAGGATCATGAGCTGCGAGGGAGTCTCAGGCGGAACGCGCCGGCCCGCCGTTTCGACCGCCGGCCTCGGGGTGTGACAGGGAAGAACTGTTATATAAGGAAAGAGGATGGAGGAGAAGGAGGAGGAGGAGGAAGACCACGACGACATCGAGCGTGCCCCCGGCGGACACGGTCGCGGCGCGCGTCGGGACCCTTCAGACGGGGGTCGATGCAAACGGTGGCCAGCCAGAGCGCCAGATCTTGCAGGATCTTGCGAAGACCCCCATCTACCTGACCCGGGTTAGCGAGCCGCGTGTGGCCGCGAGGCGGCCGCGCATATTGGCGGACCCCGGTTTGCGAAAACCTGCGTTGCAGTTTTTGTTCCTGCATTGCAGTTTGTTGGTTTCCTGCTGGCCCGGGTCTAGATTGACCTGGGCCAGAAGATCCCCGAGCGCGACGCGCCCTGCCCTACGGTCCAGGGGTGCAGGCTGGAGATCGCGTTCGAACCCTGGCACAGCGGCGCATGGGGGCCAGCTCCCTCGGGCGGCCCGCAGGGCTTTCCACGCGCGCCGTCAGGCATGGCAGCCGCTCCCGCTGCTATGCGAGAGGCTGGTCGCACCCCCGAAGGGCCAGTCTGACCCGACCCGCCCCCGTTCGAGGCGCAATCAGCTAGCTACCAGGTGCTACCGCTGGCGCCTGGACGGTAGCGAGGCGGTTGCGCCGCGATCCCTCTGGCCTCTCGGTCTGGGGGCATCTTGCCGGCGCTGCCCTCGGCGTTCCGCTCTGTCAAGGACATCGGCCTCGCGGAGGCCGATGGCCTCCAAGGGTTAGTCGGTCATTGCCAGGTCGTCGGTTCGCCCATTGCTCGGCGCGGCCCCTCGCCCGACGAGCACCGCTGCACCAGCGCTAGCGGTTGACCTGGATGCCAGAGAGAGATGGAGGTGGAAGCCTTGTGCCCGCTGACGACGGGCCGCGAGCGGCCGCTCCTGCGGGCCGCGCCCCATCGGGGGCCCGCGCCTTCCGCCATGGCCACGTCGCGATCCACTGGGTGGGCCCTCGACGACGGGGGGGTGCTCCCAGGGGCTGAGCAGACGAGCAAGTGGTGGAGGACGAGAAGGACCTTGCCGACGCCGACGGCGGCGCTGCCCCCCCTCTGAGGGGCCCCCTTCTGGCCAGACGCCTAGTCTGTCCCGCGACGGGGAGCTGGGCGCCGCTCCGGGAACCTGCCCGCGGGCCGCGGGCGCGCCCGCGGGTCGGAGTCGCGGCGAGTCGGCGCAGTCGGCGACGCCGCGGCTGCCGGGCGGGGCGTCGCGAACGCAGGGGCGCGCTCCTTCATCGATGCGGTCGCGGCCCCGCAGTGGGAAGCGCGTTCCTCGGTCGCGTTTCTTGCTCCTGGCGCCGCCGGGGCCTCCTCGCCGCTGCTGCCGAGGTCGCGCCCTTCGCCGCGGGCCTCCCAGCCTTGCTGCGCCTGCCCCCGGGCGCGGACACCATTGCCCCCGCTGGGGCGCACTGGCCCAAGTAGGGGGGGGTGCTCGTCGCCCCCAGCCCCCGTCACTTCGCAGGTCCGTCGGCTTGGATTGGGGCGCCCTTCCTTCGGCGTCGCCCCCTTGCGATCATTGACCGCGCCCTCCAGCCCTGCCCTCGAGCCGCTCGCGACGCTCGCGCCGGGCCGCGCCCGGGAACGTTGGGGGCTGCAGCGCGCCGCCTACGCGCCTGCGCGGCGCGCCGCCGTGGCTCCCGATTGGCCGGCTTTGGGCGTGCCAATCCGCGCCCCCATCGAGGCGCGCTCGCGGGCAGCGATTTCGACCTGCCAGGAGGTCGCGCGAGGTCGCATCGAGCGGGCCTGCGCGGTCGCAGTTTGACGCGTTCGCGGTGGCAGGAGCGATGTGGGTCGAACCTTTGACAAGTTGGACTCCGCCGAGGCCCCCCCCTCCACGGCCTGGCCGCCCATGTCGCAGCTGCGAAGGCCCCCGCCCCCTCTTCCTCACTCGCGCCCGCCCCCGCGCGGCAGTCCGGGATCGCCGTTCTGCGCCTTCGCCAGTGCGTGGGCCCGCTCTTTGGACGAGCCTTGAGCGCCGTTGGCGCTCGCGGTCTGTCCGACGTCAGCGTCTTCGTCATTTTTCGCAGTCTCTCCGCCAAGGGCGGGTTCAGCTGTGCGCGAGCCGACGCGAGGGGGCGGGGCATTCGCTCTCGCCAGTGACTCTTTGGCCTTCGGAGCGGCTTTGGCCGGCACTGAATCGCGCACAGTGCAGGGGCTAGGAATGCTCGCTTCGTTCTTGTGGACATTCGGAGCTGGTTCGGCTGATCCAGAATCGCGCTCGGGAGAGGGGGCCTAAACTTTCGCCTCACTTTCCGGTTCTTTCGCAGATGGTTCGGATGGTCCAGAATCGCGCTCGGCGGCGATCTTCTTTCCCTCCGCGCACGCGCCCCACGACGAAGCGCTGCGCCCCGCGACGAAGGGCCTCGCGCAGACGCCGCAGAAGCGCACTCACACGACGATCGGCGCCCTGCAAGCTGCGCGTGAAAATGGAGCAAAAGGCCTCCAGCGTTCCAACAACGGCGGCGCGCCGTCGAGCGCCGGGCACTCCTGCCCTGGCAGGACGACGCACTTGTCGCCACAATGGCGGCGCGCCGTGCGTCGCGCGGCCAAGTCGCGCACTTGCCGCGGCAGCAGGCCGCCGCTGCCTCCGCGCTGGAGGCGCGCCGCCGGGGCGCAGCCCCGTCATTGGACCGCCGTTGTCATCGCACTCCGCCTGCTAGCGCAAGAGCAACGCCGCCGCCGCGGCCGATCCGATTCGCAATCCGCGCATTATAGCGCAAGAGCAACACCGTCGCTGCAGCGAATCCGCTCAGTATTCCGCACACTAGCGCGAGAGCAACACCGTCGCCACAGCGCATCCGACGTGCATGCCGCGTTTTAGCGCATGGGCAAACCGCCGCCACGGCGAAGCCGATTTGGCGAATATGGATTGGCCGCGCAGATGGAAGTCTCTAGCAGAGCGCGAGGGTCGAACTTGGCGGCCCCTCTTACGGACGCCGCTGAGCGAGTGCCAAGGCTTCGTCGCATCGCAAGATTCGAATTCAAACTCGCCCCAGCAGGCGCCTCGATGATGGCGCTCAGTCCGCAGACCCCGGGCCCGATGGAGATGCGAGGCCTGCGCCGGGCCCCGCGACCCCCGACGGCGACGCTGCAGCACTCGCGCTACAGCGTCGCCGTCGGGCGTCGCGGGGCCTGGCTCGGGCGTCGAGATAGACCCTTACTGGGCCCAGCCAGTGAGCCATTCATCTCGCAGCGTATATGTGCATGCATATATATATATATATATATATATACACACATACATACATGCATACATAATATGCGTATAAATATGTACATATATATATATAGGGCGTTCCAGGCCCTGGGGGAGGGGCAGCGCCGGCCCTCCCCGGCGGCGCCGGTGCCGGGGCTCCAGGTGCTTTCTTTCCCGCCCCACGAAGACTCAGATGTCCTCCCAGACGGCCTAGGCGCCCCGAGATGGCATCGCACATGCTTCCACCGGCGCCAAGAATCCCCCGGGGCGCCCCAAGAGACCCCCGAGAGACCTCCCAAGGGAGCCCCAAGCGACAACAATTGCCCCACGCCTCTGGAAAAGCTCACAGATTCACGATAGTTGCCTCTCTGGCTTTCACGGCGTCCAAGACGGCCCAAAAGGCCCCGAATATCGCCCCGCGACGGCCCAAGAGGCTAGTGCCCCCAGAATGCTCAAGAGGGCCCCAGACGGCGGAAGAGGGCACCTGGACGCCCCAAGAAGGGGCCCAGTGGGGGTCCCCGAACAGGATTTTGACCCCCCGCCCCTCGAGGCCCCCAGGGCGCCCTCAGAAATGCTTTCCAAGGGACTCTGCGAGGCCCCCATCGAGACCCCGAAGAAGTCCTCATCGGCCCCCAAACTTCCCCTGGGAAGCCCCACAAGGCCCCAAATAAAACTCCCCCTAAGAAGACGCACGCGCTTGCGCGCGCACGCGCGCACGCGCGCGCACGCACACGCACACACAGACACACGCA